TAGAAGTAATCAAATATTAGATTAAAATGTTATATGAATATAATTAAATTTATGGTATTGGGAAATTATGCTTTAACCTAGACTTGAAATTTGGAAATATGAGAATTTATATATTAACTTAATTATAAAGTTGGATAAGCTTTTCGGTCTAAGCTAAACCTATATAACGTAAGTGTTGTTAGTGTCGGAATCTGATTCCAACTATATACTTGAATAGATTGCATTGGTTTGGAAGCTCAACGAAAGGGGAAAACACAAGTCCCGGAGTGATTGTTCGTTGATTTGAGGCAAGTGGATTTCTAAACTCTTGTTAAGCGTACGAAATTCGTGTATTTCCTTGTGTGATGTTGAGAATGATTTGGAGACTTGTTGTTTATTTGTTGGTGTTGTATTTCTTGTTGTAAATTGTGCGTGCTTTGTTATCAAATGGTTATCTCCTCCTTTTCATTTGAACATGTCATTTGCATTGTATCTGAGACATGGTTGTGGTAAGAGAATGATGTACTATTTTCGAGGGTCGTATCGCGCGCCGCGATAGATATTATATTTCGAGGGACGTATCGCACGCCGCGAAGGTTACTATTTTATCGAAGGTCGTGTCGTGCGCCGCGACAGATGCATGGACAGATATGTCCCCCATGGGTTCTGGCCTGAGAGACAGCGGGTGTGTATCGTTAGGAAAGACATGCATCACGATATTTGACATTGCATCTCATGGCATTGCACATTTTTAATATTGATGAACTTGAACATGTGTTTTGCTGATCTTGTGATTGTTTCTCTGTGAAGCTTGTGACTGTTGAATATTGAGTTGTTATTGAGAATGTGTAAACTGATAGAGTGTGGTTATTGAGTGGTGTGTTTGGTAAACTGTTAGGCTATAGCGTGGAGGTTTAGATAGGGTGTAAGGAGTACCTGTATTTTGTTCACTTAACTTGTGTTTAGAGGTTTGCTTGTTGGGTCCCGCGTGGTTTGGTACTCACCCCTTGCTTCTACAAATTTTTGTAGGTTACAAGCCCGGATTTTTGTGATACCTTCCATTCTCTTCGTTTCTGAGGCATCTTGTGGAGGATTGTGAGGTAGCTGTTTGTCATCTCAGCGAACTTTCCTACTCCAGTTTATGACTTTGTTTTACTTGAAAAACAACTTCATGTTAGACTTCTATTTTATTTCAAATTCTAATATTTACATTAGAGGCTTGTGCACGTGACAACCTGGTTTTGGGGGTTGAATTAATATGACTTGGTTTCATAATAGAAATTGTTATTGGATTGTCATTTACTTCCACATTTTGTTAGATATTGGGTTTTAGGCTGACTTGTCTTGGTGGGATAAGACGAGTGCCATTCACGTCCATTTTTGGATCGTGACATTAGACCTAAGACCTAATTTCACAAATGAAAAAGTCAAAATTTCATTAATAAGGTGATAATTTATAAAATCAATCTATTAAACTACTAGGATTTCTCTGAACATAGATATATTTGACTCTAGTTAGGAAAATAACGTTTCTAGTAGAAAAAATAAGGTTTATAAATATACATTTCAAGTTCATTAATTTCTCCTAGTCCATACTTCCAAATTCCATAGATATAATCATTTTGAGATATTTATGTTATGATGTTATTATTGTACATATTAGAAATTAAATAAGTTAAAAAATCAATTATTTTTTAAGAAAACATTTCAATTCTTTCATAACTACACCCTACTTTCCAATAAAAAGAATTTTGCTTAATTGACCTTTTTACATCGACGATTAAAAAAAAAATCTTTATCTCAAAAGTCCATAATACACAAATGGGAGATACATAATTCGAATCTATGTCATATTGTTATGCAAGTCGTTTAATTTCAAGTTAGGTGTGAAAAAATTCATAGAAAAATTAGTAGGTTGGTTATTAACAAATCATTTTACTCATCATACAAGTGTCAAATGTTCCTAGTATTTTTGAATACTATGATAATTTATTGGCAAGACGTATGACTTTAGACTTTATTTACAAATATTAAATAGGACTTCTTCTCAAGTCCATACGCGATTAATATTTAATTAGATTAATTAATTACAAACTTAAGATAATAGTAGTAATGTATAATTAGTGTAGGGTCCTAATCCAACTAAACATCCTTAGCCGCCTGCTCCCTATTCCATGCACCATTTGATACGAAACATAAAAATAAAACAAAATTATTGGTTTTTTGCTTCTACCAATAATTTACGTAACACTATTTTTTTAATAGTGCTGTATGGTTTTCAATAATTTAATTTAAAATTTTAATTTTATTGTCGATGACAAGTTTTATAGCCCTATAAAATAACGTGACATATTTAAGATTATAAAACTAAAAAAAGCTTTAGTTATTTGTCGAGCTATCATAATACAAATGGTCAGAAGTAAATTAATCTTTCGTGTATTATGACTTTATGTGTTCTGCTTGTGAAATAGAAAAAATATTGCATCGATCAATGAAGGCTAGGAACTAAATTAAATGCATCGAATGTCTTATCATGTTAACAAGATAAACGAAGTAATTGTTTTTGCCTGAATTAATCAGGAAAAAGAAAAATTATTTATTTAACTATTCATATTTACTATACTTTGAAATTTTTTACTATTAATATTATAATGCCTTATCCATCGGTGATTCTTATATTTGGCACGAAATTTCATTTAGACGTCTTAATTGGGCAATGTTCATTTTAAACCCCTCACGTAGGATTTCTGTGTTATTTTGACACTTTTCGCTGACATGATATGGTGAGTGTAATACACTTAAAGTCAGCGTGAGGAGCTTTTTTCAGGCCAAAATAATATTTTTAAAACACTGTTCATCTTCTTCCCTCCGTGTTTGTGATTATCTTATCCACAACACACCAACAACCCACACTACTGCAACATTGCCATTTATCTTATTAAAATTGAAATAATTTTTAATTTTTCAAATCTAAAAATCACAATAACCATTATCTTCTGCCCATTTTATTTCTTTAGATCCAACAATTAAAATTAATTAACTTAAGTTAAACAAATATTCAAAAATTCTAAAGAGGAGCTTTTGGGTCATTACATCTAATTGATACCCCAAAAACTTAGCATCTGGTGTGAGACAATTTTGATTTTGGGGATCCTAACATCGGTTGAGACGGATCCTACTCTGATATCATGTGAAATTAGGTCTTAGGCCTAACTAATACCTCAAAAGTTATCTCAAAGGAAGGAGGATTGTCCAAGCCTTAGAATGAGTTCACACATCTCATTAATAACCAATATGAGACTTTTGTCATTCTTTAACACCATTTTCATTTTTTTTAAAAAAAATATGACTATGCTCTGTCACAGCAAGTTAGGAAATAAAATAATGTAGATTATTTATTAATCATAAATTACCAAAATCGAAACTCCATCATACTCTATGACATTGCTGACGATACCCAATGAGAAATGCTTACATCAAAGTAACTAATCACTCATATTTTATGGACACAAAATAATTGTATATTAAAAGGCAAACAACATGTGCCATTGAAACTAAAATACATTTTTCTATATTTTAATATTACGTTTTTTTTTATTTGTCAAATTATATTTTTAGATTTAATTTAATTAATTTTTAAAATTAAATTAAATTAAGTTAATCTAAAATTTTGAATATTGGAACATCATACAGACAGATATACCTTTTTCATATTGATATAATTTAAAAAATAACTTTAAAATATTCTTCTATAATTTATACTATTTAATTGAAAAATATAAATCGTAACAAATAAAAATGAACGAGTTTTATCTAATAACAGCCGCCAGCCCTCGTATAATCTGAAAGAGCACAAAAATAAATAAATACCATCAACCTTAATTAGAGGCTAAATTTACCTAATTAGCAAACAGGTCATAAATGGTTTTATTTAATTACCCCTTTCCCTTATTAGTGTAAGTTCGTTCGTCATATTTTTATGGAAAAAAAATATATAAGTACACGATTTATTTTATTAGTTTTTCAAAAAAATTTCCTATCATTCGAAGAAATTTCAAAAACCTCAACTCTTTTTATTTATGGAATTTTACACGATGTATTGGTCAGATAACTTTACGTGATATATCGATCGAATACATCACTTACGTGATGTATTGGGACGTGCGCGATGCATCGAGATGCACAAAACATATCGAGATGTTGAGGCCGGAACTCGATGTATTGAGACGTTTTGAGATGTATCCGGATTCCACCAAATTTAAGAATTTTTTGTAATTTAGAAAAAAAATAGAAATAAGATGTGATTAGCTCTTAACACTATGAAATTCGTGTGAAATTTCCTATTTTTGTTTTCCATTTTCATTTGATTTGCAATGGTTATTACATTAGATTACAAAAATACTAGCTCTATCATTGATTTTATGTTTGATGTAAATTTATGAGGTCGACTTTTATCATATTAGAAATTTTGTACATTATGACTTATGAATATATAATATAATAAGTGTAAATTAGGTATATAGCATATTATGTAGTCATATTCTCAAGTTATGGCATAATATTTTGATTTTCATTCTATAACATTTAATATATCAACTTATAGCATTTATTTAAATTAAAATATTGTTAATATTTATTCTGTAAAATTAGGATGAAAAATAAAATAAAAAAATGATTAATTAAAATTGGATAATTTCCGTGAATGTAGTTAATGTTTTTTAACTGCTAACAAAATGTGCACCTTTTAAGAGATTTTAAAATATATTAATTATAGATATGCACCTTAATTATCTCAATCCGTTTTTAATGATAATTAGTTTTGATTTTTTATCCTTAAAAAATTGTATTCTGTTATCTTCTTTCCATAAACGTGTATCATTTTTTTCCAGAAATTTATGTATATTCATATATTCGAATTCTGTCATATTTTATCGTTTTTTTTTGGGAAAACAATTAAAATTGAAGGTTGAAAAAGTTTAGATTTGATTTGATGGAGAAATTTATGTCAATTTTAATTAAACATGGTGGCAAATGAAATTCATCAGGTTAGTTTTTTCTAATATTTTATTAATGTGTCGTATTTTTTCCCATGTTATATTGCATATGTTCAATTGATATATTTTTTTTTGTGATACATTTATTCAGTGTTTCCACTAATAAATATTTCCTAATATTAAATGTATTTTCATGTGTAATTAAAACGAAGAATGATGTTAAATGTGATTACTGGTTAAAATTAAAAAGTTTACAGTTTTTGATCAATTTGCAAATTTTTTGTTTTTGAAACAGTAGAACAATATCTGACATTTTGTATTAATAATGTATACATTTTGTATTTTAATGTATATAAATAGTGTATGAACAATATATACGAAAGTCAATTTTTATAGTAGTACGTAGATATTATTGATTTTTAATATATATATGAATTCTGTATAAATTTTGAATTAACAGTATATTAATTTTTTTATTAAATTGGATAAATTGAGTATGAAAGTGTATTTTAGTTTGTATGTAGTAGTTAATTGTGTAGTATGCAGTATGTATAAAAATTGTTTTAATTTGGTATTAATTTAAAATTTTATTATTGCATATATATGTGACTTGTATATAAATTGTGTATGATTTGTATATTAATTTTGTATAAAATGGTATTAAGTGTGTAATAAATAATGTATTAATTGTGTATTAAATTAAAATAGTGTATAAACAGTGTAGTAATTGTGTATTAAATTGTGTATGAAGTGTGTATTATTTTTGTACAAAGTGTGTGTTAAACAGTGACTTGTATATAAATTGTGTATGAAGTGTGTATTAATTATGTATGAATAAATTTATAATTTTATTATGGGATGCACTGAATGTAATTTTAATTCAAAGGTGGATTCACAAGCATAATGATGAGGCTGATAAGGCTACATCTAATCTGACAAAAAAATATGATATTTATCTAGAGAAAAGTATTACGTTGTTGTGCAATATGAGGGTATGTGTTTCACTGTATTGTATTTTTAATTCATACTAATCTGCAGCATGTATAAATTTTTTTTTCCACAGGTGATACCTTCAACTGTTGATCTGCATGTTGTAGCTGAGAAATCAAAGAAATATATAGTAAATTTGAACACAAGGATGTGTAGTTGCGAAAGATTTCAACATTATGAGATACCGTGTGGCCATGCAATTGTTGTTCTCCGGTACAGGAAGTTACATGAAGCAGATTTCTGTTCTGCTTTTTATAGCCTCAAGAATTTCAAAGATGCTTATGTCATTTCTGTCGAGCCTATCCCGTGCGAGAGTACATGGGATATACCAAGTTATATTTCAAATCCTAAATTGATGCTGCCTGGTCCAAAAAGAGTAGCAGGAAGACCCAAACTTGAACGGTGGAAGGGGTTCGTAGATGTGAAATTCAAGAGGACAAAAAGCACATGCAGTAGATGCCATCAGGTTGGACACAATAGGAAGACTTGTTCAAATTATCCTGTACAAAAACAATGATGTCGTACTGTTAAATCTGTGTTTTTGAGGGTTTACATTGTTATAAAATGTTTTTTATTGAATAAAATTACTTTTCATACAAATGTCATAAATTGTATATACAACTGTTCATATATTAACAAATTTTAACAATAATAATTCATATAATCATATAACATTTATTCAGTTATTACATTCATAATGGGGACTACATACAAAATTTATACATTTATACAAATTCAATACTTGCATATAAAAAAATAATGTGTGTTTATGTTATACATATTAAATTATAATATGTTATAATTCATACAGTTTTCATACATTATTCATACCAGTAATATACATACAATTTGTTTACGTTTGTATTTTGAAATATATATTTTTTCAAAATACAAACAGAAACAAATTGTATGTATATTACTGGTATGAATAATGTATGCAAGAAGGTGATACACATTTATTAATGTATAATTGTATGATATAATTCATACATTTTTAATACATTATTTATACCAGTAATATAATTAATATCTGTTTCTGTTTGTATTTGAAAGTGTATAGTATTCATTGCCTCTTTTCGACATTGTACGGTTTGTTTAGCGCAAGAGTTGAAGATTTGAGTGCTAAAAATGAAGATTTGAATGCAAATATTTGAGAATTCTTGAAGAAGACTGTTAAAAGAGAAGCGATTTTAAGCGAATTTTTGGTGAAAATAAAAATTTTGGCGTGCGAAATTTGGTGAATAATTTTGATAGGCGTGCAAAGGTAATGATTTTTAAAGGATTTGGGGAAGAACAAAAATTTGGGGAATATAATTTTTTTTAGATAACGTTTTACAGTTTTAAAAATAAAACTGTAATTGTTTTAGATATTGATAAAATCCTTATTTTGTAGTTATCTTAGAAAAGGTAACTATATAATATTTAATTTAAATTACATTAATTAAGAGTTTTGTTTAAAAAAGGTAACTTAAAATAATAAATTTAATTAACTACATTGGCTTAAATAAGGTAATTGAATAATAAATGTAATTATTTAAATAAGTTAATTATTATTTTAAAAAGTTAATGAGAATAATATATTTTTTCTTGATCTATAACTTGATAATAATATGCTATAAGTAGTTTATTATTAAAAAGTTTATTTATAACTTGATATTTAACATCTTAAATGTAACGACCCGTTTAGTCGTTTTGAGCAACAGACTTCAATTCTGGAAAAACTGGCAGAAGCGACGGACCCCACGACGGAACGTCATGGGCACGACGGATCGTCGAGGGGGTCTCGTCCCAAAATACTTAGAAAATCTGAAATTGGGTACTGAAAATCAACTCTTTGAACTTTGTGACGGAATGGCAGGACGGACCGTCACAGGTGTGACGGACCGTCACAGACCCTTGGTGGAAATTTGGGTCTCTGAACTCTGCGACGACCTGCAGGACGGACCGTCGCAGGCACGACGGCCCGTCACAGGTTGCGCAAATCCCAGGCAGAGTCGGATTTCTGGTGAAGTTTTAAGGGACGTTTTTGGACTATTCTTTCCTTAATTATAGACTTCGTGGGTTTATATTAATAACTCAAATTCTTGAGGGTTAAAAGAGGTAACCCTAAGTTAATTAGCGGGGTATTATTGCCACCTTTTATTCTTAATTATATACTAATTAGGGT